AAAGGACTAAAGTGCTAGAGCAGTTCTTACTGGGGATCTTATATGTAGCTGCAGCCAGAATGCAGCTGAGGTCGAGGTCATAGGAAGCCTTGACTGAGACAGATATCCAAGATGGCACACTTACGTGGATTATAGTTCCTGCTAATGACTAAGCTGAGGTCATTAAACCAGGGACCTATACTTCTCAAGGTACTTATCTGTGGTAGTTAGCCTTCCTGAGGAAGCATTCCAAGAGGGTAGAAGTGACAGCTGCCAGTCTCTTGGGGCCCAGGTTTAGAAAGTGTCATTTTTGCTGTATTCTACTGGCCAAAACTGTCACAGAGGCCACCCAGATTCAAGAGAAACAGAGACAGACCCCACTTCTTGAAAGAGTGTCAAAGAATTCATGGTCAAATTACAGGAAAGGGCAGTTAAAAATATTTGTAATGGAGTTTACATAAACTCACATACTCTACTAATGATGTAAATTTGTCCTGAGTCTGTGCATGTCATTCTTCTGTCTTGACTCTTAGCTCAATGGCTTTCAGCCTGACTGGCTAGTTTTTAAAATCATCTAGAAACCTGGTTCACTATGATATTCCAAAATCTTTTGTTTGCTACCATACATCCATAAAATGTGGTTATTACAACATTTGGAAATAAGAAAATAACTGAATCTAAAAAATATTAGCAAAAATACTTGCTATGAAATAAGCCTAGATCTTATCAGCACTATGGTTTGCTGTGTCACCCAAAGGTTCTTCTGCTGCAAGCCTGGTCCCCAACATGGTTATGCTGAGGCGATGCAAGCTTTACGAGGTGAGGCCTAGAGGGAAGGATTAATGTTAAAAAAGTGAGCCTGGCAGCCCCTCAAATCTCTCTTGCTTCCAGTCTCACCATGTCGTGATGCAGCAGAGAGCCCTCTCCAGGACTCTGGCGCTATGCTCTTGCATGTACAGAACTGTGGGCTACATAAGCCTTTCCTTATAAAGTAGTGAGCCTCTGCTGTTACATCAGGGCAACAAAATAGACTAGAGAGTGATATGACTAGTATCGTCCTTTCTAGAAGCCAAAAGGCTTTATTATATAAACTATTTGTTAGTATTTGTATTATCATTGAGTATACAAAACAAATATTATGTTTGGTAAGATTAAAGTTACTGGCTCAAGATAAGCTACAGTGTTGAAGAATAATATCTAGCTGTCAGTTATTTTGCTCCAATAATAGCTGCTTTAATGATAGGGCTTAAATCAGTTTTTTCAAAATGTTGACCCTGTCTCTAAAATCAAACTTTAGTACTATAAGCTGGTGAGGAGACCTCAACTAATATAAAAATAGAAACAATGAATTTTGCTTCTCCTTTTCAAGGGATATGACAGACTGGCTTATTCAGACTAATTCCTGTTTGAAAAGCTGAAGTGCTGGAAGGATTTTTAAAAGCATCAAAGACTGGATGAAAGAGGTGGTCATCAAGTTATGGACTCAAAGAAAATGAGAAAAAGAAACAGAAACAGAGAAAGTTGTCAGAATGGGATTAAAAACAAAAAGCTGTATTATGCCTTTTATAAGAGATCCATTAAAGGGCCGGGGATTTAGCTCAGTGGGTCCGCTGCCTGCCTTGCAAGCACAAGGTCCTGAGTTTGATCCCTGGTACCAAAAAAAAAAAAAAAGAGAGAGAGAGAGAGATCCATTAAAAAGTATAAGAACACAAGCCAGGCATGATGGTTCATGCCTATAATCTCACCACTCTGAGAGGCTGAGGCAGGAGAATCAAATTGTGCCCAGGATAGGCAACAGAACAATTTAGGGACACCTTGTCTCAAAATGAAAAAAGGGCTGAGGATGCAGTTCAGTGCAAAAGCTCTGAATACAACTCCTAGTACAAAGAGAAAGAAAAGGTATGTGTGTGGGGGGGAGGAAAACACAGAAAGACTGACAATAAAAGGATGATACCAAATATACCACAAAAACACTAAGTTCAAGGAAGTTTGCACAGCTATGATATTGGATGGAGTAAGGCTTTTAAAGTAAGAAACATACTAGTGAGTCCCTTCAAAGAAATAAAATTTATCTTTCAACATAAAGACAATTTTAAATTTATATATACCTCAAAAACAGACTGACAGTAGACAAATCCACAATCACTGAGATTTTAACATATCTTTCTAAGTAAATGATAGAACAGAAGACAGAAAATCATTAAAGATATATTAGACTTGAAGAAACTTGATCTAATCAAACATATACAGAATACTGCGTTCCATAACTGTACAACACATGTTTTTCAATCCTACACAAAACATTTACTGTGTAGATCACAAATTGGTCCATAAAGCATATCTCAACAGATTTCAAAGAACTGAAATCACAAAGCATGTTTACTAATCCTAATCTACTATATTCAGTTGGAGCTCAAATATATATCAATTAAAATTGTTCTAAAAACTAATTTTATTTAAGATGGTAGAATCTGTATATATCTTTTTTGAGGTATTGGGAAGTAAATTATCTATTCCCAAACAAATTTATAAAGAAAGCAAATTGTATATAATGACAAAAAATCTGTAAAATAATTCACATCTTAGTTTATATGATTTCAAAAAAGTTCATTTTGAACAGTTGTCACCAGAACTCTAAAACATGATTAATGATAGTAAAAGTTCTAAAGTTCTAAAGTTTAAGCAACAGGAAATAAAACAATTGAAACTCTAAGCAAGTTTTCTTGTAGCCACTATCTTACCTACTTCAGTTAAAGGATTCTGGATTAAAAAATAAAACTTCTATCCCCAAGACAAGTCCCATAATAATTAACATTTAATCAGTTGAACATGTAAGTAAACAAGTTGGTGCAGTGTACTTCATAACAGCAAATTACTTAACATAAATCCAACCAAAAGTAGTTTTCTTATATTTTATTGCAAAAAAACAAACCCAGTATGTTAGATAAAATTTTAAGGAGAAAACTTAAATTGACCCATAATTTCTCCCACCCAACCCAAGCAGTTTGATTTCAGAATTAACCACTTTCCAGTTTGTCCAGGTGCAGATGTATTTTTTCACATAGCTGCAATCACTGTATACAAGTTTGTACTTTTTAAACTTGGTTCAGCATACTCCATGTTTTCATTCATTTTAATTACACCTTTTCTGGAGTATACATAATACTACTTCCCACTGAAGTATTATATTAACCATTCAAGTTAGACATTGGGGTTATTTCCAAGGTTTGGTAATTTGTTACTACTGGCTGAAATTAAAGCACAAGGCCTGTAATAGCACTTGGTAACAACACCAGCAGTGGGTGTTGACTTTTCTAAAAAAGGGAGAAACACTTTAAATTCAATCTAAGAACTTACCCCAGAAAAATTCCTCATGATTTACAGAATCTGGAGAATCTCAGGATTTTTTTCTTACTACAGTGGATGGTAATAGCTACACATCATGAAAATATACTAATGTGTATGTCATAAAATAATTTTATATTTCTTTTCAAAATCCCCATGTTCTGTTTAAACATTCTTAAAATTATCATATTCAAAGGGCCATAATTTCATGAACAGAGAGCAACTTAATTTAGTATTAAACTATGAGTTAGAGGTGGTTAAAAAGCAACCCAATTATATGATGGCAAGTAAACAACTAACTGGTGGGCTTTGAAGTCAATCCTTTATTTCCCTCTTCCAGTCTCTATGTTTTCTTAACTGTTTCCTGTTGTTTGTGAGTATTTTAAAGGTCTATTCTGTTCTACATAAAAATCAACCAAACCTCACTCATTCTGTAGCTCCTTTCAGGGAACCTCAAGATCCCTCTTCCCCTTTTTAGTACTGGGGATGGAATCCAGAGCCTCACACATGCAGGCAAGTACCCTACCACTGAGCTCCAGCCTCAGATTCTTTCTTAAACTGCCAAGTCTTAAAGAATTGTAACTTTTCCTCAATATCTTGCTCTGTGCCACTGAACAAGCCATTCTGAATGCCATCAGTGTTCTGCACCTGTTAAATCCAAGTCATGTTTGTAACCTCAGACCACCATACAACCTTCACAACCTTGCCTCCCACATTTCTGACCACCCTGTGTGTGTGTGTGTGTTTGTGTTCTGCTTACAAAGTCTGTCCTCAGCAATACTTCTCTTCAAATACTTATCCTTGAGTATGTCAATTATTCATACAGTAACTACAGATGGATCCAAAATCCTTAATTCCTTTAGCTTCTCCTCAAAGGTCTGGATCTCTATTTCCACTCTACTTTTAGATTCTCTAAAAGAAAATCCAACTTAATATGTCAAAAGTCAGTTCTATCCATCTCCCCTACATTAATTCACCCATCATGGAAGAAGACAGACATATAAACAATGATGATAATTTTACAATCTCTTAAATTTTTTTTCTCCAAATATGGTCAACAAGTAAAATCTTTCATAAAATGGTGGTTTTGGAGGCCAAGACCAGTATCTGTGTGTTCATCTTTGTTATTACACAAAGAAAACCTTTCTTTTAATGAATCATAACTGTATTTTAGTGAATATACTAAAAAAACTAAGTCTCATAAGCAACAAGTTATTCTAGTACTTGACTACACTAATGAAAAATCTCTCATTCATTCCTTCTCATACATCAGCACTCTTCCTATTCTAAGTGCGTCAAGTTACTGTCCTCAGGGCAGATTGTTCTTTAAACAAATCTTTCAGACCAGATTTCATTCCTTCTGCCTGTAATGCTTTTCAACAAATTTCCAAAAGTACTTTGTAAAAAATATCTGTTTCTAAACAATATAATACACATGATAATTAGTTTTTTCTCTTGTTTTACTTTACCCTCTTCTATCTTCAATTTTCCCTAAGCATAAGCAGCTACCTGAGGATATCAACCACATTTCACTCATCTGTCCTGTAAGGCATAGTGCACAGAAAATGCTAAATATTCGCTGAACTGAGAGAATCCAATTAATTGACTGAGCTATAAAGCAAAAAATAATGTTTTCACATTGTTTATGGAACTTTAAAAAAAATCAAACACTGGACAAATAGTAAAGTAAATTTATTGAATGATGAAAAACTAAAGTGACAAGAAGTATGGATAGTAAACAATAATCATTAAGTTCTACTGGAATTCTAATTTTTTCTTTTCACTTTTAAGCCAAAAAACATAAATTTATAGACTATTAGCTAGTTGCTTGTTGTTCCTTCAACAAAACTGCATAGTCTAGCAGCTGCACAACATTAAATATCTACATTTTTGAAAAGCCCTGAAAGTTTAATTTTTGTGCTGACTTCAAAGGCTAATGTAATCACCTGCACTGGTCAGATTCAGAGTTTCTTTTTCCTTTTCTGCCACCCTGTAAAGAAAAACAGAGCAAAGTACTTAGGAAACACCATTTTGGGGCCATTTTAATTTAAAGAATATGAAACCAAAGGCATTTTGTAATATGAAAATGAAGCATTTTTTTCTTGAATTCATTATAAATTTGAGTGCACATACAACTAAATTATTCTTATATGGTTATGTTAATAAATGTTAAAAATGTTTTAGAAAACAGTTTTAATAGTTCTACATAAATTTGTCTAGTCTTAATTTGTAAGATCATAAATATCTTAATTTTTAGAACTCATTTTGACTGCCCCAGAGCAAAAAATATAGTTTTTGATCACTATCAAAATAAACCATACATTTAATTTGTTCCATATGAATAGCAAACTTAGGAATTCAGTTCACTACTTTCTGGGTACTTCATAATTCAAGTTCTGTCTAGTATTGTTCATATTAAACAGTGCTAGAAATTTGATTTTGTTCATCAGTAGAATGGAAAGTAGGTTATACTTTTCATACTGTTTTCCTGCATATATAAATCTGTACTTAATGGTTACATATGAAACACCATTTATAGTATTTGACATGAATCAAGAAAAAAGGAAGGTAGCTTAAAAAACAAAAACGTTACATGTATTATTTATAACATAACATTTTCTGCTTTAATTTAAAAAGCAAATACTGTAGTAATTTGGAAAAGATAAAGCTACAAAGAAGAAAATAAAAATCATTCATAACTACATATTCTATCCCTCAATTTAACCATAAGTAATGATTTGATAGATTTATCTACTAGTAGTTGGGAGCTGCTTGTCTGTGGAAATACATTTATAAAAGCGGTGGTCATACCAGGGGCATATCAAGCCCAGACTCATTTGTAACTGATGGCATTCATCTTTATTTCTTTCACCTTTCTCCTACCTATAGTGTCTCTCTTGGGGTCAAAACATTTTTACATCTAAAAAGTAAAAACATCCCAAGTGTAAGAATGTTATTCTTTGTTCCTGATAACAAAAATTCTGCAAAGATTTATTCATAGAAAAATAGGGTTTTGTTTGGGATAAAGGTTTTGTTTGGGACATGAGATATGTAATGACATGGTTTGTTTTTTTGTTTTTTTTAAAAAAGAATTATTTCCTGTTAGCAGAAGATAAAAATGAATTTGGAAAAAAATTTTAACACATTCACAACGGAGCCGTAAATTCCTACGTCTCACTGCTGGGTAGTTTGTGCCGCTGGTGGTACATGCATGACTGTCCCACTTGGCAACCACCAATGGGACTGTTCCCTGCCACCCAATGAATGGGACAGTTATGCATGTACCATCAGTGGTTAAAGATAGAAGGAATGTGTTAAAGTAGGTAACCGATATTTATAGCCACCAGTGTTATGAAGCTTAAAATTTTTACCATGCTTCTCAATGAGATTTTTAAAAAGAACCCCAGAAAAGAAGCATAAAGAACCTTTCCAAAGCTTCCACACAAAGGGAACTCTCCCTCTCCAATTGATTCACAAAGCTAGTGGCATAGAGCTTTTTTGACTATGGTTTCACATTAATTAATGTATTTCATGATTTGGACACATATATCTTTACATACAAATATATTTGTGTATGCACACACAAACACATATTAAAACAAAGTACTTTTTTTAGTGCTTTATTCAGAAAAAATGCTGAATTTGATCTTGTAAATGCAGAAAAAAATGACAGAATTAGAAAATAATTTTATTTACTTTTTTATATTGGGGATTAAACCCAGGGCCTTTTTGCTCAGCTACATTTGAGCCCTTTTTATCTTTTATTTTGAAACAGATTCTTGCTAAGTTGCCTAGGTTGGGCTAGAATATGCAATCCTGTTACCTTAGCTTCCCAGCGTGCTAGGATTATAGGCATGTGACACCATGCCCAGGTAAAACCATTATTTTGCAATCCCTAAAATAATACCTAATACAAATAGTATCTAATACAAATAATAATATCTAATACAACTATCATCAATGGGTAAAATCACTAGGTGAAAGGGATACTCACATAATATGAAAGCATCACCCACATGTTACTTATTAAATATAAAGGGGAGGGGCTGGGGATTTAGCTCAGTGGCAGCATGCCTGCCTTGCAAGCACAAGGTTTTGAGCTCGAAAAAAAAAAAGATATCTTTACAGGGAGATATCTAGGAGACATCACTGTTCTAAGGCATCAAACTTATGATGTAATGGGACAAATGGCATTATGTGCCTTCCCTCAATATGTTTCAATGGCATGTATACCACATCTGCTGTGTAGTTCTAAGGATTTTCCAAAATTATTTTAGTATTGCTGTATGCACCAATATCAAGACTAATCTTTTTCTAAAATGTAAATTTTATGACCAACAACAAAATTATTAATATATTTGGTGGATAAATTTTGGCGTAAGAATGACAGTCCATTTATTCTCACATAGTATGTACTCAAAATGTACTGTTTGTGATGAAAACTCTTTAAAATGGTAAGAGCATACCTGGTACTTGGCTAATTCTGCTTGTAATACTTTCACTTTAGATCTTTCTTGTTCTAATGCAGCATGAAGTGAAGTTACCTAAAACCAAATATTCAATAAGAAAACAATTTTATAAGTATAGTTTTTTTTTTGCAATATAGTAACTCTTAACACTTATTCACAATGATAAAATGTGACAGATAAACTAGTATCTGAGGAGAAATCGTCCCTATAATTTCTATTAGCTATATACTAAAGATAGCTAAGATGAGCTCATTGTAATAAGAGAAAACAGAATAACTGAAGGAGAAAAAATCAAGTCTTATAACAGGGTAAGTTCTGTCTGCTCTTTCTCTATGTTTATAGTCCATCTAAAATACCACTGTATCTTCCTCCATTTTTCAGGATATATCTATCTTCCTTGGTTCAAGTTTAAATAGAATCTTCACTTATTTGCTATTGCACAATAATACAATTTCTATCACCATCTTGCAACGTTGATGCACTGTGTTTCTACTACATTAAATTTACTAACTTAAAGCTAAGAATAGCTTAAGAAAGCGTGTCCAATGCAACCAAGCAGGCCCAGGCTGGAGGCAAGCCCCCTTGCCCCATGCTAGGGCACAACCATCCATGTCCTCCCTTTTGCTTTTCCTTGCCATGAGGCAGCAGAGGCAAGGACTAACTCACATACCTAATCCTGGATGAGGACAAAGTCCAGGGAGAGAAGGGAGCAACCAGAGCCCACCTATCTCAACCATAAGCCCAAAGTCCATTTGGACCGCTGCCCTGCAGTCTATATCCGGCAGAGACAAGAGGGTTGATTGCATTTCCTGTCTACAAAGGGAGCAAGGAATGTGGTTTAGATGGTAGCCACATTCTGGGGTGAATGAACAGAGGGGCCTCTGGTATGGGAAAGGCATCTCAAAAACCCACAAGTCTTACGCTGCTTGGAGAAACTGCGACAGGCAGGATTTCAAGAATGCCAATCTTGGAAAGATGCCACTTATTCGAGAAACACCAGAATCTTTTCTTTGAAGTAGTCTTCTTTTGATTTATGTTTATGCTAATGGGCTGTTACTATTTTTAACATTTTCCATCATCGAGTTCTTTGGAGGTTTGAAGTTTTTACTCCCCTTTTTTTTCCTTTCAGTTTCTTTTCTCTTTTCCCCTTTCAAATTTCCCTTTCTTATCTTTCATTTCCTATATTTTTGTTTATCCTTTTTCTTCTTTGTTCTTTCTTGTCACTGTGCTCTAACACTATCAGTTTCCTTTTACTTCTCAACAGGACTGCCTATCTCACTTTTCTCTCCTCTCATTTTTAAACTATGGCAATGGCACCCCAATTTAGCTGGTCATAAGAATCAACTAGTAATCTTTAAAAAATTCTGATGTCTAGGCTTTGTTCTAAACCTATTTAATTGGATTTTAATCTGCAATCAAAAAGTTTCCCCACAATTTTGATGATCAGCCAAGTTGGGAGTTGCCTGTCTGTGGAAGTACATTTTTAAAAGTCATATTACAAAGCTATAGTAATAAAAACAGCATGATACTGGCCTAAGAATGGACATGAGGATCAATGGAACAGAATAGAGGATGCAGAAACAACCCCAAGCATATGCACCTATTGATCTTTGACAAAGGGACCAAAAACTTCTGCTGGAGGAAAGATAGTCTCTTTAATAAATGGTGCTGGGAAAACTGGCTATCCACATATAGAAGATTGAATCTAGATCCATATTTCTTACCATGTAGTAAACTAAAATCAAAATGGATCAAAGAAGCAAATGTTCAAGCAGAAACAACCTGCTAGAAGAGAAAATAGGTGAAATTCTTGAAGTCATAGGTGTAGGCAAGGACTTCCTGAACAGAAACCTAGTTGCACAGGAAATAGTAGACATTCCTAGTTTGATCAAGTTATGTTCCTGTGACTAGGTCTTTAAGTGAACTGGCGGCTAAATGAAGAACTGTATATAGTATGTACATTACAATATTCAGAACAAAGAAATAGTCAAAGCAACTTGATGACTTTGCTTTTGTTTACATAACTCTTAATTGCAGTACTGTAACATTTAACAACATAAATCTACAGTACTGGATAGTACAATCATGAAAAATTACAGTACTCTATAAGGTGTACTGTATAAAAAAAGACACCGAGGCTCTATAAACAAATGTACAGAACTATACAAAACAAAAAAAGATGGGTCATAAGTCCAAACAGCATGCCTTGGTTATAAGTCCAAAGAGTTGTTACACAGGTAGTTCATGAAATGAGGAATATCTGTACTGAGAATCAACAAATGGGATCATATCAAATTAAAAAGCTTCTGCACAACAAAAGAAACAACCAACAGAGTGAAAAGACAACCTACAGAATGTGAAAAATTGCCCCCAGCTATTCCTCAGACAGAGGTCTAATATCCAGAATATATAAAGAACTCAAAGAAAATTAGATCTCCCCAAATAAAATATCCAGTCAAAAAAATGGGCAAGTGAAATGAATAGACACTTCATAGAAGTACAAATGGCCAGTTAATACATGAAGTAATGCTTACCATTGCTGGCCATTAGAGAAGTGCAAATTAAAAGAACACTAAGAGTCCATTTTACCCCAGAAGAATGAACATCATCAAGAAATCAAGTAATTACAAATGCTGGTGAGGCTGCAGTGAAAAATGAACTTTTCTACACTGTTGCTGGGAATGTAAACTAGTACAATCACTGTGGAATTCAGCATGGAGATTCCTCAAAAAACTAAAAATAGAAATTCTATTTGACCCAGCTATTTTCTTTCTTTTTTTTTTTTTTTTTCTTAAATTCTTTTATTGGTACATTTTAGGTATACAATACATTTCCATTTATCATTGGGTGCTTGTACCTGAACATGATGTATCTTGGTTCTTATTTTTTTCCCCATTACCTGTGTGCCCTTCACCCGCTCCACCCTTCCCTATTTACATACACTTTGTTTCCTTTTTTTTTTTCTTTTCTCATAATTTTTCCTTTCCATTCTTTCCTTTCCCCATCTCCTCCCACCACCCTACCCCTTTGGATCTTTTCCTATTTCAAAGTATCAATTATTAGTTATTAATCCTTTTAATCCTTATTTACATTCTCAGTTTCTCACACTAGAGAAAAATATTCAGTATTTACACATGTGCGTCCTATTTATTTCACTTAAGAGTATGACCTCAATATGCATCCATTTAGCTATAAATGACTCTAGTTTCTCATTCTTTATGGCTGAGTAGTACTCCATTTTATAAAAAAGCCACATCTTCTTTATCCAGTTTCCAGTTGATGGGCACTTGGGCTGTTTCCAAGCTTTAGCTATTACAAACTGTGCCGCTATAAACATGGGTGCACATATATCTCTGTGGCATGATTCTTTTGACCTAGCTATTAGGTATCTTCTTGAAAGAATCAGAAACATCATTATTACAGTGATATATGCATACACATGTTTATAACAGCACAATTCATAATAGCTAAATCTTGGAAATAGCCTATATGCCAAGCAACAGATGAATGGATAGAAAAAATGAGATAATTACACACAATAGAGTATTACTCTGCCATAAAGAAGTGTAAAGTTGAGCCATCTGTAGGATAATGGATGCACCTTGAGACTCTAATGTTAAATGAGACAAAGGAGTTTAAATATCACATGGTTTCTCTCATATGAGAGCAAAATAAATAAATAAATGAAGAGCAAAATAAAAAGTGAATAAGAAGAAGTAAGGAGACACAGTAGATTTTTCAAAATGCGAAGGGCACCAAGAGACAGAGAAAAGGGGGATAGAGGGGAGGAAAAGGGGATGAAAAACGTAATTTAAATGTGTTATGTATATAAGGAAGGCAAACATGCACTGCAAACATATACTAATACAAATTTAAAAAGGAAACTTGTCATGTGCGTTCTATAGTTCATTACCTGTATAGTTAGCTCATTCTTGATACTTTGTGATTCATCAACTTGCAGAAGTATTTCTGCTTTATCTTTCACTGATAAAAAGGAAAAACAGAATGTGTAGGTCTTATTTTTCACCAGTAAATTCTGATCATTATCACCACCAGCATTTTCTATGAGAATTTTAAAATATCCTGCAGTGTTAAAATATTAATTGCACAGATATAATGAACGTGCAATTTTTCAATCTACATTAACTAGGAAAAGTATACAAGAAAAGTTAAAATTTCACACAGAAAAAGACTTTAAATACTTCGACTAATTTTAAAGTAAGATTTTAAAGAGTACAGAATACTTTTTTTGTTGTTAAACTGTTGAAGTAAGCATACTAAAAAGGCTAATGAAATTATTATTCTCTGACTTTTAATACCAATAAAGCACTGTCTGATGAATGTAGTTCTTCATATCATAACTGAGTATATAACATTTGTGGTCTTTTACAGCTATTCATTTCCCTCCTTTGGAAAGCAAGAGCCCTTTATTTTGGCCCCTATGTTTCCTAAACTTTAGAAATCTTCACAAAGCTAATACATGAAACTAACTCCTCACTTTGAAAACAAGCAAGGGAGAGACTGAAGAGGCAAAATTATAATAAAGTTAGCAAAGGAGAGAATGTTCAAAACACATAAAAGTGGTGCTATCACCCTATCAACTCAGAATATTTCATTTATTCATCATCTTGAACATTACTTGTGATAAGAATATTCAAAATCCTCTCTTTAAGATACTTTTAATTTTATAATACTAGTATTGTTTACTATAATCATCCTTGTGTGTAAAAAAACCCCACAAAAAATAGAACTTATTCTTATTTGGCTGTGACCCTGTACCCTTCTCATCTTTATTTAATGAGTCACTAATAGTTTTTGACAGCTGTGTATTTAACACCATTTTTCTCATGTCTTGTGGCTTTAACTGTGTGACTTTGCAAAGGTAGAGTTTGGGGGAACACATGTTACATTGCAACAGAATTAACTATACTTACATTTAAAGTGCTGGAGTGTTATAGAAATTTTCATGTAATGGTTCTACACAAAACTCTTCTAGTTAGATACAGCGTGGCCAATTGACACATAGTGAATTTGAATTTATTTTTTGTTCAATTGGACACAACTTCTGCTTTTTATTGATGTTGTTTTTGTTTTATTTTGGTGCTAGGATTGAAACCAGGATCTTAAAGATTATATTGTTTTGACAACTGTTGCTTTGTGAACTAATTTAAATTTCAGTTAGTTCTACTACCAATACCTTCACATCTGACAAAAAACTTTGATATCTTATTTTCTTATTCTTCACTGTGGGATTCACAATTTTATAATTTTTTTTTTTTTTTTTTTGGTACTGGGGATTGAACTCGGGTCCTTGTGCTTGCGCAGCAGGTGGTGAAACCACTGAGCTAAATCACCGGCCCTAGAGATTCACAATTTTTAAAGTGCTATACAATACTCAAAGGTACTAGGATTTCCTTACCATTTGTTAAGAAATAAAACTGTAATATTTAATATGTCTGTTCAGGAAATTTTCTTTTATTCACAACTTTTTGTTGTTTTTTGGGGGGGAGAGACAGGGTCTTGCTATGCAGTTCAGGCTGGCCTTGAATTCACTATGTAGCCCAGGATGGCCTTGAACTCCTGGTGATCTTCCTACCTCAGCTTCCCAAGTGTTAGGATTACAGGCATGTGCCACCACACCCAATATTTTTTTCTCATTTATTCACATCTTAATCAACATCTCTTTTGTGATTTTCCTTGCATAAATTTCATATTAAAATTGACACATATTGGGCCGGGGATTTAGCTCAGTGGTTTCGCTGCCTGCTGTGCAAGAGCAAGGACCTGAGTTTGATCCCTAGTCCCCCCCCCACCAAAAAAATTAACACCTATTGTCTTCCCTGTTATGAATGAAGTATTTTCCCAGAACCTTCAAAATAAATCTCATTAGGTACATATTCAGGAATGCACCAATTGGCAGGTTTTCATATGGCACCAACTTTACTAACCATTTGTTGTTTTACTAATCATTTGTTGGACCGATTTTCTTGGCTTCTTGTTGGTGACCTCCTGGCAAAAATTTAGAGTCACAGCAAAAGTGAGAAGAGCAATTGGAGAGGGAGAAGATAGGAAGGAAATAACAAGAAAAACCTAAAGTAATCATAGGCTACCTCCTCCACTAAATAAAAGCCAGAACCTAAGCAAATATTTCAATTGCTTTTCCTCTAAATATAGTCCGGTAATTTACAAGAACTGAAATTTCAAGCGTTTATCCTACCAGAATAGTTGAAAATATATAAAATTAAAGTGAAGTGTAACATAATATTTTCAGCCACTACCCAGATTATATCACTCTGGAAAAACCTTTTTATTTTGTTGCATTGATAAATCATGGATCATGAACAATTATTTTCAGATATTAAGATAAACGTCAATCCTAAAAACACACAGATGAACACTTACTTTCACCTTCCTGAAGCATTTTCAGTAACTGTGCATTTCTTGCCTTTACTTCTTTATACTTTGCCTAACAGTCAAAGAAAAAAGATTTAATTTTTAAAAAGTAAATGATATAATAAATGATCAATATCAATTTATGGATCCATCAATTCTAGGCTTGCTCAAATGAATAAATTACTTTTGGAAGAAACAGAATGGGGGAAATGTAACTGGAATTATCTATTACTTAAATCTGACATCATAGTAGCAAAGAATATTATAGGTGATCAAAAATTAAAGGGTAAAAATAAAGTCAGGATAATACTTAATTTTCCTACACAGTCTTCCTCTTTTACTCCTCAAATAAACCCTTAGCAAATTTAAAATAATTTAGATTCAAACCTAAAGAAAAATGACTGATAGTTCTGCGTCAGTATTGTTCATTAATATACTAGAACTTTCCATCTGTTCTGAATCTGCTACTGCCCTACGTGGCTACTGAACATGAGAAATGTAGCTAGTGTGATTGAGAAAATGAACAGGAGCAGGGATCTACTAGGGATTGAATTCAGTGGTAAGCACTCTACCACTGAGCTACATTCTCAGACCAAGAAAATGAATTTTAAATTTTATTTAACCCTAATTTAAATTTTAAGACACTTGTAGTGTTTTTTGGATTTCTTTCTTTTTTTGCAGTACTGGGGATTGAACCCAAGACCTTTGCACTAAACTATATCCCCAGCCTTTTTTATTTTTGAGACAGGGTCTTGTTAGGTTGCTAAACTGTCCAGGCTGGTCTCAAACTTGCCATCTTTCCTGCCTCAGCTGCCCAGAACGTTGGGATTACAGGCATGTGCCACCACACCTGGCTAGGTTATTAAAGTTTACAGTGTAGTTTTATACTTCCCCAGTTAAGGTTTCACTAATTCCATTATTTTGCCAACTAACCAACTATTGTTATAGTAATTTGGGACTGACATGAATTAGTAATTTACTGAAATATCTTTAAAGTTTCTTTTTCCAAATGGCAGTTTCTTCTTACACAATATAAATGGTAACAATTACACATTTATGAATGAGAGGAATAGTGCTCCCACATTATCATGAATAGTCTAAACAATTTTTTGCCTACACTACCTTTATTCAACATATCTTGCAACAATCTCTGAATCACTGATAGTTAATAAATTAGTACATTAGATAAAACCATACTTTATTATAGAAAAATAAAAGCCTAAAGAAAACACATCAGTGTAACAAACTTGTTATTTCTTCTTTCAACATGTACAAAGATATGTACACAAGTTCCCAGATTTAAAAATTTTTTTTGTGGTATTGGGATTGAATCCAGGGCCTTATGGATGTGAGCTTAGCGCTGTATTACTGGGCTATGCCCAGTTAATAAATTTAATTTTTTTTTCTGTGCTGGGGATTAAACTCAAGGCCTTATGCATGCTAGGCAAATGCTCTACCACTGAGCTATATTCCAGCTACTAAAGGTATTTCAAGTACTATAAAGATAGCTTTTGCCATGCAGTGCTCTATCCATTAAACTGCTGATGATAAATTAATAATGTTTATGGAGTAATATTGCCCTCAATACAGTGAATCAAAGTAAGCACCACAGTAAGTCTAAGAAGAGTGGGACTTTTTTTCTCCCTATGGTCCTGGGGATCAAATTTGGAGTACTCTACAACTGAACTATACCCCTATCTCTTATTACTTTTTATTTTGAGAGAGGGTCTCATTAAGTTGCCCAGCTGGGACTCAAACTTGTGATCCTCCCTACCTCAGCCTCCCAAGTGCTGGGTTCATAGGCCTGCACCATGGCTCCTACCCAGGTAGGCCTTCTGAGAAGCTTAAAAATGATCAAGAAGGGATGGAAGTGTTGGCATATGCCTGTTGTCCCAGCTACTAGAAAGATTAAGGCCAGAGGATCGCTTGAGCCTGTGAATTCAAGGCCAGCCTAGGCATATCAGAAAAAAAAAAAAAAAAAAGAAGGAAGACAAGTCAGATGGAAACAAATTTATGAGAGGAAAAACATACATTTAACTGCAACTATATTCACTATGAACATGAAACTACACTACTATGAAACTTCCAGTGTCAGAGCTGCAATCTATGCTAATGCTCACCAAACTCTTTGTAGCTCAAGCCTTTTGTCCAAGGTCTAGGTCAATATACATGCAGGCACCTCTTATGAAAGTCTTAGGGTCTAAAATCAGCTCATAAAGCAAACGTGCAAACTTACCTCTGACAATACCCTAAACTACTTATAAAAAATAGCATATACAGTTTTGTATATACAATCCTAAATAGTAAATGTATCTACAAAAACAGAAATATATGAAATACTAGTAACAAGTAGTTTATAACAAACAGCACATATGAAATATACAGTGCCATTACGGGTATTTTGGATTTCATGAAAAAGAGACCATATAAAGTTAAATGTGGATATGTTGTGATTCCACTGTGTCCAACTGTATCCTAAGAATGTATGTTTGCAAGTACCACAGCCACTTAAAATTCAACATGTCCAAAATGAAATTTGTGAGTTCTAGTCTTCAAACCAGTTCAACTTAGTATTTATTCTTTGTTTTACTGGACTATCTTCACTCAGATCTCAGCCATAGGCATTATCAGCCCATAAAACAATTCTCATGTCACCTCACTGCTAAAAATGTTTACTAGTCTCTGTTTAAAATCCAAATGCTTTCTACTTCTTATCCCAAGGAAGATCTCTAATTTTACCTTTTATGGACAGGTTCCCATTTCTCTAAATGTCAGCTAGAATATACTTCTTACCATTCTCATGCCTTTGTACATGCTGTTCTCCCTACCTGGAAAAAATCATTTTTTCTGTGAAATCTTCACCAGTTTTCAGTGGCAGCAGTTTATTTATTCCTTTCTCTGTCCTTCAGGAATACTCTGCCAAATCTCAATTTTAATTCCTACACTGTATTGTAATTATTTTTATAATTTTAATTCCTACATTGTATTTAATTATTTACATGTTTATCTCATCTATATCTCACCTTTGCGTTCCCTGTGTGCAAAAATGAAGGAAAAATAGAAATTAAAAGCTAAAGAAGATGGATACAAGCAGGATTTGGCAGGTAAGGTTATTTTTGTTTTTTTTTTTGGTATCGGGGATCGAACTCAGGACCTTGCACTTGCAAGAGGCAGGCAGTGGCACCACTGAGCTAGATCCCCAGCCTAGAAGGTAAGATTTTTAAAGGCATGTATAGAGGAGGAAGAGGCATTTAAGAACAATCAGGGCTGGAACTTGATTTACTTTTTTCACTTTTACACATTCAGGGCCCAGAAAAGCACCTAGTATACTACGAGCATTCAGTCAGTAATTGCTCCATAAATTAATTATTAGCAAAAAATAATATTTGAGATGTATAAGAGATTTTTCTAAAACCTAAAGGAAGAAATAATAGAATAATAGATTTGTAGTTAAAAATACAGTAAATTATATACATAACAAGTGGTAGTGGGGATGTGGAGAAATTGGAACCCTTGTGTACTGCTGCTGAGAATATAAAATGTACAGCTGCTCTGGAAAAGTTTGGTAGCTCTTCAAGGAGTTAAACAGAATATCACATGATCCAATCATTTACTTTTAAGTATATGCCCCAAGAATTGAAAGCAAGGACTCAAATACTTGTACACTAATTAACAAAATGTGGTATATACATACAGTAGAATATATTGACCTATAAAAAGGACTAAAATTGATATATACTACAATATGGATGGATGACCCTCAAAAACATGAAGTTAAGTGAAACAAGCTAGGCCCAAAAGGACAGATGGTATATGATTTTACCAATATGAGTTACCTAGAATAGGCAGATTCATGATGACAGATTACAAGGGCTAGGGAGTTGTTTAGTGGATACAGAGTTTTTGTTTGGAATGATAAAAGTTCTGGAAATAGTGGTGATGGCACATATTATTGTTAAGATATTTAAGTTACTGAATTATACACTTAAATGCTTATGTTTTATATATAGTTTATGACAATAAAAATTATATTATTCAGAGGGCCAGGAATTTAGCTCAGTGGTGCCACGCCTGCCTTGCAAGCGCAAAGTCCTGAGTTTGATCCCCGGTACCACAAAACAACAACAACAACAACTACAACAACAAAAAACCCCAAACAAACCAAAAATTATATTACTCAGATTTAAAATCAACCAGTTAAAATTACCCAAGTAGTTATTTCTATCAACTGACTATTAAACACACTTACATATAATAAAAACAGAAAATGTGCAAGTTTATGGAGTTATCTCCCTTTATAAGAGTAAGTGGATACACACCTCCCATTGAGTGATCACATTTTTCAGCTTCTGGATTTCCGCATCTTTCCTTTCAAGTTCCAACTTTAGTCTTTCAATTCTTCCATCTTTAAGAACCACTTCCTGAAAAAAACAAAAACACTATTTTAGGATTCAGATTGTTCTGTCAATACTGGTTTATACCATATTCCTTTGTGAAAAGTTTAGGAGAAAAATCTGATTTAAATTAGTTTTTCTAGGCAACCATAAACTACTGACTATACTTCCACTTTGGCTCAATTACACGAGTTTAATTATGTATAGTGTAAGCAAATAAGATTTTTATGATTAATCTCAAACTATAAACACACACTAGAACAATACTAGAATTCTGAAATATTTCTATCCTGAAATAAGCATATTAAAAGTACTCCGTGAGACACTGTTGTTTGGAGTTTGTCTAGAAAATTGCTGTCATCTTGCACCATACCCCCAAATAAATAAATTTAAATGTAAAAAGTCACCCCAAGGACCGGAGATGTATCTCAGTGACAGAGCACTTGCCTAGCATGACTGAGGCCCTATGTTTCATTCCCAGTACTGCACATACACACACACAAACATATACACAAAATCATACTTTTGATGAGTACAAATCGGTTCTATTTACCTAAAGAAGAATGTGGCAATATATTCCACAACCACTCACTGAATATCTAGTTGCTAGGTGAAGACATTTGTAGATTCTTGCCCTCATGGGACTTGTGTAGCAGAAGAGACAGATGTTACATAAACGCTGCAAGAAACCAGGGTTTGAGCTATGAGGAAAAAAAGAAGCTGGTGGTCTGGCGTATAACAAGGAGGAAGATGATACAAGGTGACTTTGCAAAAAGTGGTAGAAACCCGATCTTGGAAAGCTTTGTAAGCCATAAGAACAGTCTGAATATTATTCTGAGTAAAACAAAAAAGTGAAGGATTTTGAACAGGTCTGTTACACTTTCTTACATCAGGCTTATGTTTGCAAAGAACTCCCTTAGAGGCATGGAAAATGGATTGGAGTTGGAATGTGACAGGTAAACACCCTTTAATTCTCACTGCAAGCCCCAGTCAGACAAGATTATGCCTTATATGAATGGAGAGAAGTATATCTGAAAAATAATTTGGAGGCAGGATCAACAGCATTTGGACGTAAGGTTGAATGTAGTGGGTGAGGAAGAAAGACATTCCAATCCAAGTTTCTAGTTTAAAGAATAAGGTGAGTAGATCAAAATAAGAAGTATACTACTACTATGTTCAGGAATCTCACGTTAGAAATTTACCTCAAATAAGACTAGTGGGAATGGAAAGAAAGAACATGTTTACTGTGGGATTTATCACACAAAAAAACCCCATCAATTTAAATCCCTATCAGTAGGACATAGGCTAAATATAGATAGTAAATTCACAAAACTGAAAACTCTAGTCAATAAACTGACACAGAACTGTAAAATATATTCATATATTCAAAAAGTTACAATATATACAAAGAAAAATTCTGGAAGGATATATACCAACATTTTAATTATAACTAAGCTTTGTTTTAAATTTTCCTTTTATTAAAACTGTCTTATACTGAGTGTATAATAATAATATGATTCTACTTTTGAAAAAAACTGATACCATATATGGTAAATAGATTTTTAAATCTCCTGGGCATGGGCCGGGGATTTAGCCCAGTGGTTCCACCGCCTGCCTCGCAAGTGCAAGGTCCCAAGTTTGATTCCTGGTACAAAAAAAAAAATCTCCTGGGTGTGGTGACATAGGCCTGTTATCCCAGCACTCAGGAGGCTGAGGCAGGAGGATCACTGAGCACTGGAGGCCAGCCTGGGCTATGTAGCAAGACCCTAACTCAAACAAAAATCTAGATGAATATGACTATGTATTTAAATAGGGAAATCTGAAACAAAGGGAGGAAACAAAGAATGATAGATTTGTCTTTTTTTTTTTTTTTTTGGTACCAGGGATCGAACTCGGGTCCTTATGTTTGCGCAGCAGGTGGTGAAACCACTGAGCTAAATCCCTGGCCCAAGAATGATAGATAGATTTGTCTTGATAAAAAAAAATCTTTAAAAATCATATAACAAAAATCAGAAGGTAAACAAAGGGCTGGGCACTTAGCTCAGTGGTTCCACCGACTGCTTTGCAAGTGCAGGGTCCTGAGTTCAATCCCCGGCATCAAAAAAAAAAAGAACCAGAAGATAAATGAAAACTGGTAAAACTGGTTGTAATTAGTATAAGACATATAAACAATAAACATGAAAAACTGAGATTTCACTAGTAGGCAATGTTTTATCAATTGGTATGTTTAAAAAATTTTTTCTCAGTGTGGCTTCAGTATAGGCAATTTCCCTATAAATGGAATTATTTAATGTACAAAATTAAAAGTTGGATGTGGCAATGCATGCCTATAATTCCAGCATTCTGGGGGACTAAGGCAGGAGGATTACAAGTTTGAGCTCAGGGCAATTTAGTGATGTAGGGAGACTGTCTCGAAATTCCTTTTTTTTTTTGCACAAAATCCTGAGGCTGTAGCTCAGTGACAAGGCCCTGCATACCACAATCCTCAGTACCATACCCACACCCACACACACACCCACCCACCCACCCACACACACTCTTAATGACCTGAAATCTTTATATCTTCATTTAATTGAAAAAGTAATCCTATCAACTGTTTACATATAGAGAAAATGATATAAGAGAAAATAATATTATACATAGAAAAGTGGAACCACATCAAAAATACCAGTTTCCTCTAGGTGAATGAAATAAAGGTCTTTTTTCTCCACTACATCAGTAAATTGGGTATGATAATGATATCCACCAACTTTGTGGTTAACTGTGAGAATAAAATGATATACTTAGTACAATGCCTGGTACACACATAGTATTTATATGCATATATATATATAAATAGATATCAGATATTTTTGCCTCTACCATTTCTTCATTTTACTCAGTTCATAAACTATCTACAATAAACACACTTTTTAAAACTCAGTCATACTAATGTACACTTTTTCAATGAAGTCTTATATTTTAATAAATAGATTAAAAAATTATCTTATACATAAAATATACTAAAATGATGAGAGAATGTATAAGATAGAATCTATGTGCACAAGGACTTGCAATCCATTAAGAATGGTAAGAGGGCGGGGATTTAGTTCAGTGGTTCTGTCACCTGCCTCACAAGCGCAAGAACCCAAGTTCGATCCCCAGTACCACACACACAAAAAAATAAAGAATAAGAAAAACTGCTGTGTAAATATGCTGTAGGAAAAACAAAACACTATAGGGTATTTTAAAAAAATGTGGCAAGATCATATCCAGGTTTTTTGTTTTTAGTGTCTGGGGCTGGACTCAAGCCATGAAGAGAAAGCTTCAGGGAGGAATACATGCCATACATATACATATATATATATTGTATATGTATACAGAGACACACACAGGAAAAAATTTCATAAAATACAAGTTTCATTTTGACATACTTCCTTGCCCACACATCCCATTCTTTGTTGGTACTGGCTACTGAATCCAGGCCTTTTTTTCTATTTTTTTTATTTTGAGACAGGCTCTCACTAAGTTGCCCAGGCTGGGCTTGAATTTGCAATTTTCTTGTCTATATATCCCTGAATAATATATTAAAATTTCAAATTTTGAAATCATCAATTACGCTCATCATCTTCTACTTTAAAAACTAATGCTAAACTGTCTTCTAAAATGGTTATATAAATTTACATCCCACTACCAGTATGTTACTACTGTACTATTTCCTTTAAATGAACATCCACAGTCTGCACCTTTCTCCAATTTTTCCTAGACACTGTAGTGAAATTATTACTACATAAATTCTGCTCTGCTAAAAAAAAACCTTCAAAAATTCTTTATTGTCGGGGCCAGGGATTTAGCTCAGTGGTTCCGGTGCCTGCCCTGCAAGTGCAAGGTCCTGAGTTCGATCCCCGGTACCAAAAAAAAAAAAATTCTTTATTGTCTACTGACTTATGAACCAGGCTTCTAACTCCTCCACAATCTCTTCCAATCTACTCATCAAACTTATATTACATTCCTCTATGAACGTTCTGTTTTAGTTAAACTGGTTTATATTTCACTGTCTTTATACTTTTATTCTAGGCATTTTAATTTCTTCTTCCTCATCTCTATTTTCTTCTCACAAAGCCATCTCTTTATTTCCACTCCTGTGAATTATCTTTTGGACTTACCATTTTTTATCTGTATAAGAATAATTATCTTTTAAGTTCATATTGTATACAACATGATCTGTAAACATTTTAAATCATAATTTTTAACTTTCCTAATAATAACACAGGGCAGGCAAGTAAATGAATTCCAATGAAACAGTGTAAACTGTATAATAATAAACATTATTATATTTATTTGACTTCTGTTATCTACTATACCACAGTATTACTTTGGTTTTACTACAAATTAGTATCATTTAATCATTTAGTTTATATACCTAACTATTCTACAAAGGGAGTGAGGCACTTAAGTATTTGCTGATATACTTTCTTTCTAAAGATGATCTGAGATGGCTTAAATGTAAGAGGTTATGGACTACCAAGGAGAAAATCATAATCAATAAAATATGCTAAGTATAAATGTTAGCATATAGCTTGGACAGTACATCAAATTTGGCTGTTAAGACAGAAAAACATTAAATTTAATTCAATGCCAGAAAGTTAGAAACTCACAAGGACCTCAAGGCACACAAAGATTTCTTATTACTATGCGGAAAACAGATTTTCATATGAAAGTGTTACTCATAAACCAGTCAACTGCTGCATTAGAATGAAAAGTTCTGAAGGGTTTGACTTCTCTTGTGTACCATACAATAGCAAACAGTAAATATTTCATTTGTTGAATGTCTATAAATTATCAATTTTAGTAAACAAAGAGATAATGCCCACTAAAGTGGATGTTTAATTGGTAGAATTACTGAATTTATTAGTCCTCTTGGTAAATGAAAAGGCAATGTCCACTGAAGACAGTAAAAAGATGGGAATCAGACTTTTAGAATTTGGAGTAGCAATAGGAGAAATTTTCCAAAGTCAAAAGAGATAAAATAAAGGAGTGTTAAGTAGAAATGAGGACATGGCAAAATTGCACAGTGCTGATTATGTGATTAGAACATTAGCACTGCATTAGGAAGTATTTTCTAGGGCCAGGGATTTAGCTCAGTGATTGCACCACCTGCCTCACAAGCACAAGGTCCTGAGTTTGATCCCTGGTACAAAAAAAGAGAAGTATTTTCTAGCTATACATGTTGGTTTAGGAATTACATTCAAATAAAGAAAATACACAGACTGTTGGAATCAATGAGCATAATGTAAACTTTTTCATTAATGGGCTAACTAGTAAATATTCTGGGACTAGTAGAGTCTCTGGCACATGTTATCTTTTCTTTCTTAAAAATACTATTTTAAAATTGTAAAGACCAAATGTAAATACCACTCTTTGCTTGTGAGATTTAGAAGAAAAAAAAGAGAGACCACTGACCAGGATAAAATTCTATCTTAGAAAAAAATTGTAAAACCTAAATCCAATCCACTTCTCTAATCATGTCATCCTACACTCAACTCTAATCACTTGCAGAAGTTTTCAGTTTCCTGAATATTCAGCCTTTTATAACTCAAGGTCTCTGTTTCTGCAGTTGCCTTAGGTTAGTCTTTCTCTATTTCTCAGTTTATTCTTCACTCAAAGTCCATCCCAGATGGGATTTTGGGTTTTTTGGTAGTTCTGGGGACCACACTCAGTACTCTACACAAGCAGTCTGACACTGAGATACATCCCAAGCCCTCAAATGTCATTTTTTAATATACCCATTACAATTCACCCAGAGATCAGTATCACCTTTTCTATTCAAAGCCTCTCTTCTGTTGTTCATATCTCCCTTAGAAGTCTTCGTCCTGCTGAATATTATGATAATGCCTTTACAGGTTTCTCTCTTTGTATCCCCCATGATTCTGAATGTCTAAGAGAAGACAAGTCTTACCCATCTTGGCATTCCCTCTACTCCACACCAATGCCAAACAATGCATAAAAACAGCACATGCTCCATAAACATTCCTCAGCGAGTGAACGATACACTTAACATTTTTTTAATGTAAGTATCTCTGCAGGATAATGACTAAAATCCTAAAACTGTTACTTTATACAATCATAATTGCTTTTTTAAAAGATTTCAATTTAACTTCACTATAATTTTAAGACATTTTTCTATTTTACATGCCTTGTGTTCATGAGCTGTACAGTTATCTGTTCCATTATATTCTGTAAGCTGTTCTCTTCTTTTCTCTCTAATAAGAATTTTATGAACATCATCTTCCAATCTATTGAAGAATCCTCCATCATGTGATAAAGTCTGAGAAGAACTCAATTCCTGTCAAAAATGAATTATGATTATCATTCAACATAAAAATGTATGAATTTATCAAACCTAGTCAGTCACTAGGACAGAGAATAAAAGAAATACAATAGCTAAGAAACCAACACTCAACCTTTCTCTGTCTCTAAAAGATAAACAGCAGAAGACACAAATACAAATGTTCTTTTCTTTATATATTCTAGTTGAGCACTGCTTGATTTTTAAACTTTTGTCATTCATATATAATTCACTCAATGTGCACAAGCCAATAGTTTTTGTACATATTTAGTTGTACATTCATCACCACAATCAATTTAATGTTTTTATCACTCCAAAAAGAAACCCTACCCTCATTAGCAATCACTTCCCATTTCCCCCTAACACTTCCTCCAGTCCCAGGCAACACTAATCTATTTTCTGTTTCTATAAATTTGTTTATTGGGGACACTTCATACAAGTGGAATTTTTTACAAGCTTCTGTGACTTAGCCAAGTATTTTCAAGGTTCATCCATGCTATGGCATGTACCAGTACTTCATTATTTTTTACTGCTATGTAGTATCTCATTCTGTATTTCTACATTGCTCCATCACTGCTCATTTGTTATCACTAGTCAACACATGGACATTTATGTTGTTTCTACTCTTTGGTTATTATGAATAATACTGCTATGAACAGTGATGCATAAGATTTTGTGTGGACATATTTTCAATTCTGATGGATATAAATTTAAGAGTACAATTGCTGGGTGATATGGTAACTTTAATTTTTTTGAGATATTGCCAAATAGCTTTCCAAAAATTCTTACCATTTTACAATCCCATCAGCAGCACGAGTGTTCCAATTTCTCTATATTCTCACTGACACTACAGCCAACCTCATGGGTATGAAATATCTCATTGTGGTTCTGAGTGGCATTTCTCTGACAGCCAATAGTTGTGTCCTTTTATGTGTTTTACTTGTGTATCTTTTTAGAGAAATGTCTACATAAATTCTTTTTTAAGGTAATGGGGAGTAAGCCCATGGCCTCACACATGCTAGGCAAGTACTTCAAAACTGAGCTATATCCCCAGCCCTTTTTTATTTTGAGAAAGGGTTTCACTAAGTTGCCTAGGCTGATCTTGAATTTGTGATCTTCCTGAATGGCTGAGATTACAGGCACGCAACACCATGCCAGGCTTTGTTCAATTTTTAATTGGGTTACATGTATTTTTACTTTTGAGTTATAAGAATTCTTTATGTACTCTAACCATGTATGGCCTGCAAGTATTTTCTATTTGTGAGTTGTTTTGAAAAAATTTCATGGTGTCCTTTACATCATAAAAGTTTGTAATTTGGATTTAGTCCAATTTATCCAAGAAACCACTGCTTAACTCAAGGTCACAAAAATTCACTCCTACATATTCTTCTGAGGGTTTCACAGCATTAGTTATTTTAATATACCTCTCAACCTAACACACACACACACACGCACCCCTGGAGACCCAGGGCCTCATATGTGCTAAGCACTCTCTAACACTGAGCTAAGGGCTGCGCCCAAGCTCCACTGAGACAAGGGTTGCCCTGACTGGTCTCTAATTCCCTGGCTCAAGCAATCCTACCTCAGCCTCCTGAGTAGTTGGGACTACAGGAACATGGCACCATGCTTTGCTTTAGGTCTTGTATTTAGTTCTGGGATCCACTTAAGAGTTAATATTATTTATGTATGGTGTGGAAGAGTTCAACTTGATTCTTTGCATGTAGATATTCAGCATTATTTGAGAAAATTTATTTTTCTCCATTGAATTGTCTTGGCACCCTTGTCCAAAATGAACTGAACATAAATATCAGGGTTTGTTTCGGGACGTTTAATTCTATCAAACCATATGCATTCTTCTGCCAGTACCACACTGTCTTGATTACTATAGCTTTGTACTGCTCAATCTTTCGCATTCCATTTTTTTTGGGAGGGGGTGGGTACCAGGGATTCAATTCAGGACCTTGTGCTTGCCAGGCAAGCGCTGTGCCACTGAGCTGCCTCCTCGGCCCTGCATTCCATTTAAAAGTAATTTTACATCAATTCTACACAGAATAGAATATTTTAAAGAAATACAATTTATCACTAATGCTATAAAACTAGACATTTTATACATTCTCCAGTAAAAGCAGAATTTCTCCTCCAAATTCCTATTATGAACACAGAGATTGCACAAAATGTTCCTCTCATTTTCACTGGTTTCACCTGTTTCCCACATTCTTAGGCTATAATACTCAAAATTTTACCTAATTTTTTTTTTTTTGAGGCAAAGTCTTGCTTTGTAGTTCAGGCTGGCTTTGAACTTACTACGTAGCCCAGACTAGCCCCAAACTTGCAACAATCTCCTTCCTCGGCCTCCTGAGTGCTGGGATTACAAGTATATGCTAACATGTCTGGCTGCCATTTCAACTGTATTTTTGAAAAATTGATACCACAGTTCCATGACTGTTTATCCTTTTCCCTTCGTATTATCTTAGAAATTAAAGTGTTTGAAAGAAAATTTTACTTGTATATCAGTGTTTAATATTCAAATGACATTAAAAATGTTTGTTCCAAAGCACTTAAACATTATTCGAATCTCATCAGCATTATTTGAATCTCATAAATACCACGAAAAGCAGACAAAGCAAGTTATTTCCTCACCAGGAATGCCCATTAGTCACGGCTAAATGGCCTATCTGTAAAGTCTACTGATTCACAAAACACTCCCAGTACATTCTGGTAAGCTTTCATTTTAAAGCACTGAAGACGAAATGCTTAAAAGACTGCTGAACTTCTGTCAGAGGACTAGCATGTTGTTGGCAACTAGTCAGCCTCTAGATTTCATGTCATTGCAATTCCACTGGGCATGGTGATACATGCCAATAATCCTAGCACTCTGGGAGTCTGAAGGGGGAGGATCACAGGTTCAAGTCTAGCCTGGGCAACTTGGTAAAACTCTGTCTCAATTTTTTTTTAAGCTGGGGGTGTAGGAGCTGGGAATGTAGTTTTGTGGGAAGGCCCTGGGTTCAAGTCCCAGTACCACCCCAAAAATAAAACAAAACAAGCCATTTCCCAAGTGTCCCTATATTTTGACAGCAGCTCCCATTACCAGTACGCCTATCCCAAAAGGCACCCTATCTCAAGTACTGTGTGTGTGAGTGTGTTACTAAGGGTTAAACGTGGGGATGGTCTACCACATCTAGCCCTTTTTGAGACAGAGTTGCCCAGGCCGGCCTTGAACTTGTGATCTTCCTGCCTCAGCTTCCTCAGCAGCTGGGATTACAGGCATGTGCTACCACGCTCAGGTTCTTGAGTATTTGTGAATGAGACACAAAATACCTTGTTAGCCTACAGATGAAAATATTCCAACTGTTCCTTGATAAGCTACGGGGTGAAGCCAAAATAACAGCTACAGCTCACCCCACACCTCGGGAGAAAAGTGTGGTGAATTTAACAACACAGATTCTTTAGTAAGCTCAGCCCATTCAATTTCAATTTAATTCAAATTCAGATTGTACAATGTGTACAGTAAGTAGGACAGTACAGTGACTGTGATGTATGGACATAGATCAATGAACAGAACTGAGAATCTAGCACAGAAACCTTCATATTTAGGGTCAATTTACTTTTTAAAAAGGGGTTGAGGCATTTCATTGAAGAAATAAAAAAGTGTTTTCTATGAATGGTTCTGGAAGAATGGGATATGCACAGCCAATGCAATGCATACCATATACAAAAATAACTCGAAAAATGGATCACAGACTTTACGTGAAGAGATAAAACTAGCTAGGTATAGAGGAACACAACTATAATCTCAGTACACTGGGAGGCTGAGGCAGGGGGACTCCAAATTTGAGCCCAGCCCAGACAACTTACTGACTTATGGAGACCATGTCTCAAAATGAAAAAAAAAAAAAACAACGAAACATTTAAAAAGGCTGGGGATATAGCTCAGTCTGAAGGCCTGGATTCAACTCTTGGTACTGAAACAACAACAACAACAATAACAAAAATTAAACCTAAAACTATAATGCCTCTAGAATAATCATGAACTTCAGAAAGGCAATGAGTTACTAAATGAACATGGAAAGTACAATTCATTAAAAAACTGAAAAATCAAAATTTTAAACTTTTGTGCTTTAAAAGGCATTAAAAAATATACAGGCAAAGCACAACCTGGAAGAAAATAACTGGAAATCACAATAAGAAGATAATAGACCTAAAATGGGCACAAGATAGTTACCAAAGCTCTAAAATGTCTGATTAGTACATGAAAAGATGGTCATCAAGAAAATGCAAATTAAAATTACAATGATGTATACTGCACCCTCACTAGAATGGCTATAGTAGAAGTATCAAATGTTGGCAAGGATGTATAGAAACTGGCAGGAAAGATAAATGGTGCTGCTGAAAGGAATAATAAATGGCACATGGACCGGGGATTTAGCTCAGTGGTTTCGCTGCCTGCTGCAAAGCACAAGGACCCTAGTTTGATCCGCGGTACCAAAAAAAAAAAAGGCACAGCCACTTTGAAAACAACTTGACAGACACTTAAAAAGTTAAGTGTACCATACAAGAAAGCAACTTCACTCCTAGGTATCCACCTAAGAGAAATTAAACATATAGCCACATGAAGACACACCAAATGCTCACTAATAGCAAACCCATCAACCGGAGAATAAATATTTGTATAATGGAACACTATTTAGCAATAAAGATGAACTACTGATACATGCTACAACATGGATAAACCTCAGAAACACTATCACAAATGAAAGAAGTCAACCCAAGAGACTACATATTGTATGAATCCATTTATAACAAGTTCCTAGAAAAGGTAAATCTGTAAAGATTAGAAAATAGAACACTTGTTGCCAGATGTTGAAGGTGAGGGTAGGGATTCAGAGCTATGAGGGAACTTTGGGGGATTATGAAAATGTTCTAGAACAAGACTATGGTAATGGCTATACAATTCTTTATATTATAAATGGAGCTAGAGGTGTAGCTCAGTGGTAGAG